GTGGCCGTCGGGCTGACCGACCGGGCGGCCGACGGGGAACGACGAAGACCCTTTAGGAAATATTCCACCGGGACCCGCTCCCTCCGTCCCCGTCGTCTTGCGGTCCCCGAAGGGCTTCTTGCGGCTTCCGCCCTCCGCCCTTCCACCCTGGAGCTTCTTGAGAGACGTCAGGTGGCTGTCGCCGTGCTGTAGAGACGCGCGCGTCTGCGAAGGCAGCAGTACACGCACACTCACTCACACACACACACAAGGAGAAGTGCTGGCCCGCATCGATTTCGTGCCGAAACGTGATAGATGAAATTGAAATGCATGACTGTCCCGCTGCTGCTGCAGCGAGAGGGGGCGCGGTGGCAGGGCGCGGCAGGCCCCGCGGGACGGCGGTGGCGCGCGCTGCGCTCCGTCAAGATGTGCCGGCTAGAGTTCCAGCAGCAGGTCGTGTGTCGATTCGGCGTGTCATGCGTGCGAGGGGTGTCGTCGGCGTGGCTTCGGCGGCGTCGCCGAGGGATGAGGTGAGGCGCGGCAGAGCGCGGTGGCCGAACGGAAATCGAAAGTGGAGGATAGGGGGCATCAAAGGTCGAAGGGCTGTCCCCTGCTGTCCCCTGCAGGAGAGGCGTAGGCACGTCTGTTCATGGTTTGATCTCCCTTGCTTTCAGAGCATGACCTGACCTTTCGACCCTCCCCCACTCCCCCCGAGCCGCCCGCTGGCACCTGCCCTATGATCAACAGACCAAGACGGCTGCGGGGGGGGGCGGGGTGTGGAGAGGACGGGGGAGGTCCCAGCGGCCCGCGCCGCGCCATTGCACCCGGTGACATGTGCGCGGCTTCCCGTGCATCCCTCCTTGCAGCGCATTTAAAATGCGAGAATTCCGCCGCCAAGGGTTGCCGTCGAGGGCTGCCGTCGGAGGCTGCTACCGAAGGGACGTCGAGGGTTGAAGTTGAGGGTTGACGTCAAGGGTTGCTGTCGAAGGATGACGAAAAGGATGACGTCGCGGCTGCCTTCGGGGGTTGCCGTCGAGGTTGACGCCGAGGGTTGCCGTCGAGGTTGAAGCCGAGGGTTGATGCCGAGGGTTGACGCCGAGGTTGACGCCGAGGGTTGATGCCGAGGGTTGACGGCCGAGGGTTGACGCCGAGGTTGACGCCGAGGGTTGATGCCGAGGGTTGACGACGCGGGTTGCCGCCGTGGCTTCCATCCGAGGTCGCTGGCCGCTCCAGGCCCTGGGCGGCGGCTCGTGCGGTCCCGCCCTGCACACGTCCAGCGGTGATGCCCTTCCAGCCAGTGAGCTGGAACGTGCGGTCAAAACTTCCGCCGCCTATCTCCCTTCCCTACCGACCGGCTGACCGGTGGCCAGGCCAGCCCGGCCACCGCCATTCGTATCGGTGACCCCGCAGAGTCCATACGGAACGGAGGCCCCTCGCGACCCCAGTGAATTTCCTGTTGTGACGTCACGCGGCGAGTCTGGCGACCAGTACGGGGGGTGGGGAGGGGGGGTGACTTGGTCATGAATACGGCTTCTCCCATCACAGCGCCCAGCATTGGCCAGCATTGCCCCACCCTGCAAGCACTAAACGCCTATCTCGCTGCGATCTTGCTCGGGAGCGGCTGCTCCAAGGCCGTTCTACAAATTACACGGAGATAGAGAGATGGACATTTCACCTCCGAAACGACGAGTAAAGAGAAAGGGGCAGGGGTCTGCCAGGGTGGGGCCGAGGCTGCACCCACGGCGACGCACAGCGAGGGGGGCTTAAAATGTTGTGTCGTGTCACCTGACTAGGCCAGCAACGCGCCATCAGATAATTCGGGAAGGGTGGGGGGAAAGTAGGGGGACGCTGCGAAGGGGGTCACTCTCTACCCTCTTCACAAAATCCATAGACATCCGCACAGACAGTGCAGCGACGGAAGAGGGGAAGGGAGGGGCCCGGCTCGCTTGACACGGTTTCATGCGGTTGTTGCTTCCTGCCTCCCGTTCCTTTCAAGGGTCCCCTGAAAGACCTTTAGCGTTAGCGCTGAAAGAGCCAAAGACGCCTCGGCGACCCCCCCCCCCCTCCTCGCCCCGCCCCGCCCCTCGCCACGCCACTCGACCCGCAAAGCCAAGTTCCACGTGAGCCACGTAGAACGTGTGAGTCCGGGGTGCTGCGGCTCCGCTGCTGCACACACGGAGCAGTCTGATTCCGAGAGTCGTCGTTTTCGTCGCCCTGTCTCTCTCGCCCCTTTACGGGGCAGAGAATACTGTTCCAAGGATCAGTCTGCGGCGTGGGATGAGGCAACTGCAGCGCCGTCACGCTTGCTCCATCGGGCCACCCACTGCAAGACGCTCCCGGGACGAACGCGATCCAACACTCGCTGTTCGACTCGACTGGGGAAGTCCCGTAGCGGTGCGTGCGTGTGTGTGCGTGCGCGGTGCGCACCGAGCCTCATAGCGGCCTTATTGTCGTAATACTGCGCCGGCCGACAATGGATGTTATGGACCTCGCAGCGCCACGCAGCGCCACGCAGCGCTTCGCAGGGGGTTGTTCGGGTGTGGGGGAACGGGCAGGGTGGTGGCCGTGGCTGGGCCGCCGTGGGCCACGCCACTGTGGGCCACGCCACTGTGGGCCACGCCACTGTGGGCCACGCCACTGTGTGCCACGCCACTGTGGGCCACGCCACTGTGGGCCACGCCACTGTGGGCCACGCCACTGTGGGCCACGCCACTGTGGGCCACGCCACAGACTCCATCCCCGTCCATCGCATCGGTTTATGAAAGTCGGCCGCAATATGCCGGCCTGGCGGCCTGCTCGCCTCAGCAGCGCTGTCGATCTTATCGAGACGCACGGGCCGTGCGTACTGTAGTGCCGTGCCGCGTGCGACATGTGCGGCGCCTCCACTGTAGGCACCGCCACTTATGGCACCGGCGGCTACTTGGAACAGGACCGCACTACCAGGCACTACGTAGCACTACACGGTTTAATTACGAATCGGGGGCTCCCCGCACAGTGCCGCGGCGCAATGCTTTGGCGGCGGCCCGGGCGGGGCGGGGCGGGGAGGGGGAGAGGGGCGCACGCACAAACTTCACGACCCCCACTATAGAGTATTCAAACGGGGGACTGCGTTCCGGGCGGCACGCTCCCGCACGCGCCGCTATGGGAATGGGAGGGAGGGAGAGAGAGAGGGGGAGAGCGGGGCCGTAGTTACGCCCGGTCGGACTGCCGCCAGTTCCTTCGCAGTCTCCAAACTTTCCCCCCGCACAGTTAGTGTTGCGATTGCAATGGGATCCCCCTACACACTTGGAATGAGCGGCGAATTGGGTGTGAAATACGAAGGGCCATACTAGCGCCCCACCCCGCCTCACCTCGCCCCACCCCGCCACCCCCCAACTGTCGCCAAGTGCACTTGCTGCCCCGGCGCCACGTGCCGCGGGTCGGTTGCTTTTCAAACCATTCAAACGGAGAAGAAGGCCAGCATTGTGCTGGCCGACGCCCCCGCGCCCCACGCCGCGGAACGCGCGGTGGATCGCGGAGTGGATCGCGGGGAGGGTCGCGGAGTGGATCGCGGGAGTGGATCGCCGAGTGGATCGGGGAGTGAATGGCCGCCGGCGTCGGCGGGTGGATCGCGGGGAGAACGGCAGCATTGATGAATCCGAATTCCCCGCCGCCCGGGCTTGGGATGGCGGGGCTGGCGGGGCTGGCGGGGCTGAAGCCGAGAAATGACGGCGACGCGAGGCAGCAGCTTCGCACAGCGAGCACAGCGAGCACACAGTAAAGAAGAAGAGAGACGGCGACGAGAAGGCCCCCGTCGCCGAGAGAAAAGAAAAGAATTCTGCTAACGAAGCCCGGGCATCAGGCGGCGGGCTGGAGCAGCCACCTGATATCGACACCGCGGTGACTCATGCCCGGCCCTTGCCGCCCCTGCCCTGCAGCCCCTGCCCTGCAGCCCCTGCCCTGCAGCCCTCCATGCAGCGCTGGGAACCGGGGCGGGCCGCGGCGGGGCGGGCCGGCCACCCCGACTCCCTCCGCGCGGATCCAGTTCCGTGTGAGGTCGCACTCAAAGTGCTGGAACCGAAAAGAATTGACTCGTCGCTACCCAGCCCTGCCTTGCCCGGCGCATTGACCGGACATCCTTCATAAAGTCGCCGGCGGGAAGTAACATGCACCAAGTTCGGCGTGTGTGTGTGTTTCTGTGGATTTCATCGCTTGAGAACGGCTCCCGCCGGGCCCTCTGATGCGGTCGGAGGTGGAAATGCGCGGCTCGCGCTCACCGCACGCCGCTCCGGATTCATGTTCGTAATAGCACGCCATAGGGGGCTGTAAGCAGCGCGGAGCTTGGCGCGCGGCGCGGTGTCGTCGGGGCGATGCAGAGCGACGCACCTAGGCCGCCGGGCCCGCGCAGATAGCCGGATTTTGGACGGCCGTGCACGATAGTCCTCCCACCTTGCAGCGCGCTCGCGGCCGAGAGGCGAACACTGGCTTGGGCGTGGCGCGGCGGGCGGGGCGGGGCGCAGCGGAGCGGGGCGGAGCGGGGTTGAAATAGTGCCTGGAATTCGAGAAAGGACCTTGCCGGCGGCACGCCCTTACCTTACGGCCCGCATTTTTACAAAAGCCAGCAGCAGAAATAAAAAAAGGAGAGGACTGTCTTGCATAGCCGGCAAGGTCGTGCCGTGTGTGTGTTTAGATCCGTCACAAAGTTTTTGTTGTATATCTAAAATGCACGGAACTAACTACGCCGGGCTTGGCTTGTTACGGAGTGCACACACGCACTGCTAATGGGATGGCACACGGTACAATTACACGTATCTGGGGAGGGTCGGCCGGTCGGCCCGGCAATTTCATGGCCGCGCAGAGTTTCTCCGAGGAAATCAAGTTGAACTGGTGTTTGGAATGTGTTATGGCAATCGGAGTTTGCGGCGAGGGCGGATGCCGGCCGGGAAAGTCATCAAAACTTCGCCGTGCGATTTCGGAATTGTCACCTCGGACACGGGATAAACCCACCGTTCGGTAAGGTCAAAAAACATTTTAAGGCAGGATTGTTTCGTTTTCACTCTTTATTTTTCAAGAGAGACGCCTACGATTCGATGACGCACTCGAGGTACTCGGGTCCGAGCTTGGCCAACTTGCTGAGAGCGCAGACTCTGTACTTGAGGCCGTTGCCGAGGGGCTCGCACTTCTCTATGATCTCAGACACGGCCTGGCTCATTCCAGCGAGGCCCAGCATGGCCAAGCAGGTGACGATGCCTTCGACGCTGAAGCCGAGGTTGTGGTTCAGGACGGCTGCAGTGAAGAGAAACAAACACTTTGAGCTTTGCGACATGCTAGGTGATTTTTTGGTTCCACTGGAAGTTGAAGGACTCACCGGTCTCCTCGCTGGCAGGCGCACTAGTGGTGCAACAAACCTGTATCAGCACAAATACAGAAACTTAGTAAAGTTATTATTGAAAGACTGGCAAGGCTTCCAAACGGAAACAGCATGTGCAACCATCGTTAGTGCTTCAGCACTAACAGAAAGGATTGATAAAGTCAATGGGAAAATAACAACAACTCCACCAGGCACGATACTTGTAAAAACTTTTAACTCACCAGGGCGAGGGCAACGGCGGCTGCGAAGACAAGGGTGCTGAGACGAGCCATGGTGCTGACAAACTGATCGTTCTCCTCGCGTTTCGGTTTATATAAGATCTGCGCACTACAATGACACTTCGGAAAGAAGTGGTATCAGCAGGTGGCCGGCAAATCACAGGTACAGTAGTGAATGCCTCAAGAACACTTCAAATCTTTTGAGTCGCTTTGAGTGAAGTGGCCTGCATTGATAATCATCCATAGACCTTATGTTATGACGACCAATACGAGAACGTTGTTTAAAAGAGGCATGAACAAAAACCTGTGCAATTTTACAATTGCCACATCCAACACACACGACATGCGGATCTTAGACCAGAAGCCTGACAAAGTCAAATAGTGGTCCTTTTCTCCTACAAAGGTAAGGTCATTGTATCCATTTATTTATCTCGATTTAGGATAGTCATTAATAACCACAAGTTTGGTACCACGAAAATAGCACCCGCAAAAGTGTTAATTCAAAGTCAATTTCTAATAATTCGCGGCTTTCAGACAGAACGCTCAAAGTCGACCAAGCTAGCTGCCAGAGGCAGCTGAACCCCAGCATTGAGGCCGTCAACCCTTCCTTGCTCCCGCCCGCCCTATTACTGTAATGACACGGCGAGCATCAGGTGGGCGGTGATTTAGGATGGCAAAGGTGTATTTCTGCGAACGGTTCGGCCAGCGTCACTGTGGTCAGGGTGGCGGGAGCAGGGTGGTCAGTGCCTCGCAACGTCCATAGCCAGTCGGTCGCGATCTCTGCTTCAGGACGCAGTCGAATATGGTAAAGAAAATCGTATTATCCCCTGGTGCTTGATCTCGCAACGACGCATTTACGCTAACTTACTTCACGCAGGCCCTCGAGGTAGTGGAACGCCTTTTGAGGCTTGCCTGCTCTTGGCCAGAGGGTCGCAACCGCCTTCGCTACTGGATCGGGGTCTACCTGCTGCCGTACTCGTTCGCCTTCACCATCGTGCTTCCAGCGGCGTGCTTCGCCGCCGGGATGCACGCCTCGGCCATGGACAGGGTGGACCTGCTGACGGACGGCGTGGCCACCAGCCTTTGCTTCGTCAAGTTGCGGTGTCTACAGCGCCATGCCAGCACCGTAAGCACGCCAACGCCCCTCCTTCTGTGTTGGTCACTTTGGAATGAGGTTAATCTCCATGTAGGCGTAGTAAGCGACAGGAAAAGCTATAAACCGTAATAAAGGCACAACTAGTGTAATAGTCCACAGCATTAACTGTGAACTATATTGTCTAGAGCATTTTCCGTGCGTGACTGTAGTTTTTTCAGAGAACGCTGAGCCTCTCCGCAAACTCGAAGAATTTTATTTTAGACCTGAGGAGTAAAGGCACATGTATTAAAACAAGATTGACGCAGCAGCTGCTGGAAGTGCGACGCCTTCTTCGAGACCACTTCACTCCGCTGGAGGAGACCGTGGTCATGGAGGCCAGGGAGGCCAACAAGCGGTGTGAGCGGCGTGCGGGCCGCCTTGCTATCGGCTACGTTGCCCTGTACTCGTCGCTTTCCATCTGTGGCTCTATCATCATGTTCTTCTCCCTCATCTCCGGCAAACCCGAGGACCGGAGACTGACTACCAAGGCCCCCCAGGCTTTCCTGCACAATGACTACCTGTTTTGGCCCGTACTTTGTGGAATCAGCGTGGAGCTCTACATTTTCCCAATTGCCACAGGTATGTGCTGGACAAGGACAAAAGAGTGTGTGACAAAACTTAAAAGCAGTTGTGCGGAGGGAGCAGTAGTTCGTAAACTAAGCTACGTTTTGCTCCCACAGGGACTTTTGATGCTTTGTTCCTCACGCTATCCCTGCACCTTGTCTGCAAGTGCAATATTCTCTGGGTCCTGCTCCGGCGAGCGCAGGCAACTGACCACGCAAATGCTCCCAATCGGATCAGAGACTGCGTCATATATCATCAGCTCATTATAAGGCACTGGTTTCAGCAGTTTTATCTTACAGTTTCAGTGATAAATTTTACATTTAATATTTTCTATGATCGCAGGTTACACAAACTGACGGAAGGTATCTTCTCCGGAGTAACGTTGTATCAAATGATCTACATCTTGTTTGGAGTTGGGACGCCTGGGATTCGTATTCTAAATGGGGTACAATCAAAATCCTTTTTCACTCATGGCAATTAAGTTTTTCCTTTTAAGACACTAATTTCAATTTCCTCAACAGAGTTTGAACGGTGATACTTCCAAAACACTTTTTGCAATTTCGTATGTTTGGTGGAATATTTGTCAGCTTCTAACGTTTTGCTGGTTTGGAGATAAGGTTGCCAAAATGGTAAGCTATAAGGATTACATAAAAGCAGTTACAAAGGGAGAGTATGTTGATATTAAGAGACTATGTTGTCGTGCCACAGTCTCTCGACCTGTCCGATGGAGCGTTCTGGACTTTTGAGCCCTGGCAGCAGAGGAGTGGTCACCATCTGCACCTTATGATGCTCCGGGCGCAGAAACCCCTCTACCTGACGGCCGGAAGGTTTACAAACCTGACCCTGCGACTCTGTTTAGACGTAAGGACAGGAAAAAATATAGGTCATAATTCACAAAACTGTTTTTAAACTGATGCTGCAATTCGGATCTATCTTCCTGTTACAGATAATGAAACGGTCGTATTCTCTATACTCTGCCATGAATCGCATTAAGACAGCTTAAAGTTTCAAACGGGAAAAGTACTTCAACAACTCGGTTCAGGTCACCTTCCAGTCTCATAAATAATGTTCACAAAAATAAAAACTATTCCCGATAGCGTTTTATAAAGGGGTTGCCTGTGGGTGCCGCCTGCCACCTGAGAGCCGCGCAAGGGGCCCTTGACTTTAACTGCGCGCTCGTTTACTTGTTGCAACAAATCCTCGGCGCTGTGCATAAATCTGCACAGGAACACTCCCTTTTATTACTTGCCGCGATCCGATATGATTAGAATCAGCGGAAAGAATGCAAACGCGCCATGACGGAAGGCGACGCACGGGCCGCGGGGAGCACGGCGCGGCGGCACGGCCCTTCGCGAGGACAGAGGGGCAATGGGGTGGCAGAAAGTATATCACGCGCGTGACACAACACGGCGAGAGGGGTGCCGAGGCGTGCCGGCCCGCAAACGGCTTGCAAACGGCTTAGCGCGCCAAGATTTAGCGAAAATGATTCGCTTCCGCGCGATGGCTCGGCGCGCGCGCACGGCCCTTGGCACGCCGGCAGGCATGGGGATTCGGGAGAGACAATAAAGAGGTTGCGTGGCGCCGAGATGAATAGCGACGCATAAAAGTCGACGCCAAATTATAAGTTATGCGGCCGTAGCGCGGCAGCACGCGGAAGCTTGGAGATCTTGCCGTTCGCGTTCGCCACCAACCGCGCTGCCGCCTATGCCGCCACACTTGTCCAGTGTGTCTCTGCCCTCTACTGGTGTCTCGATTCGGATGAGAGCCACCCTTACACACAGTGGCGCGCCTACTTCGGAGGACGAGGGTGCGCTAGCGGAAGGTATAGCCGGCTTCTTGTTTCGACTTGCTCGCAGCCCGTTGGCGCTGGCCAGGCGCTTCGCGGCCCATTGGCACGTGCCTGCATCTGCCTACCATTCCCCACCCCTTTGCCGAGGCCCCTCTAGCCGAGGTGCGTTGCGCATTTTCAATTCCGCCACTCCACCCCAAGCAGGCTGGTGTTGGGCGCCTGACACACAGACCTTGTTCGCCACCGTCATATTTTAGCCAGGAAGTTGGGCCAAGGTAAGGTAGACGTGTTGCACCATATTCCACATGGCCCATGCTAGAAAAAACCATCAATGACGAATGTTTTTCGATCATACTGCGAGTATGTTCATCTGCTTTACAGTTTTCGTTTTATCTCAGCAAGTCCGAATCTCGAGGGAGTGCCTGGACGTATCTTCGCCATTTCCAAGGTAAGTGAGGGCACCAAAAGTGGGGTTCGGGTTGGTGCTGGTGTTGGTCCTGGCGTTGGGTTGGGGTGCCATGACTGTAATGAAATGGCCACGTTCTTTCGACTTTTCGGTTTACGAGGGGAGTGAACTTCATAGTAATGAATCCGCAGAAGTTTTGCAAAAGCAGGCAGTGTAGCTGCTGGCTTGGCCTTGTGAGAATTCATGTAAAAGTAGATAGGCTGCGTTCCAATCGTACCTCAAACGGTACGTTGCAGTGCATTTGCCGACTGGGTCGGCGAAATTGAGGTGGAGACAGACGGGCTTGCAGACGCAAGGTATAGGGAAGCGAATCACCTGAATACCTGATGTGTAGGGCAAGAGGTAGGCCCCGTGCTCACAGTTTCCATCCTGCAAAGAGGGTGAAACGTTCAGCTTGAATCAAAATACATTCAAAGAGATCCGTTGGGACAAAACTCAAATCGACAAAGACGTTCCTTCAACGCGAAGCCTCTCACGGAAGGACGTCACCAACCTGCCTGCCCAGCGATCCGTGATTAGGAGAGAAAATTGGGTTTTCGATTCAAAGAGTGGGATTTCTTGGCGTCCGCCGTGATTTCGCATAGCCCGCGCGTCGCCCTGCCGGCGAATTGTCAGTCAATGTCGAAAGTTTGGCCAAGTTGTGTTGGGGGCAACGGCCGCACTGTGGAGGCACTGTGGAGGCGGCGTTGCGCACAATCGGCCGGAAGCAGCGCCCTGTCGTGTGACGTCCCGGCACCGGGGCACCGTGGCACCGCGCCACCGGGCGGAGGCGGCAAGGAGGCAGCAGGCAGGGCAGACTCTGCCAACTTACTCGGAGGTCTTCGAGAGAATCGAAAGCGCCAAGTGTCAGTTCGACCGCAAAATGAGATTTCTTTCCTGCGGACGAAACGAACGCGGGCCTGGGCGTGCTGGGCTGAACTCTATGGACGCAGCGTTGGACGCAGGGGGGCCTGGACGCGCCCTCCCCTGCCCAGCGCTGCCCTGCACCAACACGCAGACTTCATTAAACATGCACGTGCATGGCGGCGGCCTGGCATGGCGGCCTGGCGAGGATTGTGGTTTGCCACATTTCGGTCGACAGCCATCAATTAGGCCCCACAACGCGACGAGGCGCCAACGGCATGGCGGAATGGCGCCAACAGAAAAAATGGCAAACACGCCTCACCTGCCGCCGGCACGCCGAGGGGGTGGCGGAGAGGGAGAACTTCGATTAGTCGGACGGTGGCGAGTAATCGAACGAGGGATCAAGATTTATTTTTCATTGATCAACAGAGACGTCGCGATCGTGACCGGGGAGCGCGGCCCCACGGATATCAGATGCGGCGTGCCCGTCAAATGAATTCTTCCTCCACATGCAACGAGCGGACTAATGCGTTGACGGAAATTAAAAGGGGGCAGAGACACGGGACTTTTAAGGAAACGGGGAAGTGAGGGCCTGAGGGCCACCCTGCGCCGCGCCGCGCCCTCCGCGCCCCGCCCTCCCATTTCTCAAAAGCTGGGGATTAATGAACACATTACGTTCCTACTTACTCTCCTGCCTGGATTGCCAGGTGGACAGCCGCAGGGGCGCAGCCTGGGCGCTGCGACACTGGGATAATTCAATTACCTTCAGACTCTTTGCAGTGTAGTGCATTCCCTATTCGCCCGACGTGAACACACACAGTCCCGAAAAAAATAGGCAACTTTCCGGGAGTGCCGCCGGGCCGCATGCTGCATTCTGCAGCACGCCGGTAAGTGCAGTGTCGTGTCGTGTCGACGTCTCTCTCGCACTCATTACGGAGGCCGGCCCGTCGGCCCGCTGGCGTGACCGGCCCGTCTTTATTGACGTCTCCATTTAGGCCGTCGACGGGCGCCCACTTTCAGGGAGCTTTCGGGGAGGGGAGGGCGGGGGCTGTTTTTTGGATCCGATCCCAGCGGAGGTGCGTGACGCCGCCCTGTGTGCATGCGTTTGGCGGGGCGGGGCGGGGTGGGGCGGGGCGGTATACGCCTGGGTGGCGGGGCGCGGCGCGCGACCGCCGGAGGACACGCACCTCTCACTCCCGCTGATGGACATGGACCAATATCCGTGTGGCATTCATCACATAAAAAGACCCTCCCCTTTACGGCCACACGACCGCACGGCCAGCGGGGAGGGTCAGGTGGTCGCACGGCGCCACGGCCAGGGTAGGTGAGGCCCGTCCGGCCGTGCCCAGCCCTGCCTCGGCCCTGCCTCAGCCGTGCCGCGGGTGTTGGTAAATTACTCATGAATGAAGGGGAGGGGGGCTCGACCGGCGGGGTCGGTCTAATCCAGATCGCGTGCTTGACCCTCGTGCGTGCGTGTGTGTGTGTGTGTGTGTGTAAGTGTGTGTGTGTGTGTGTGTGTGTGTGTGTAAGTGTGTGTGTGCGAGTGTGTAGCCGTATTCGTACTACACCGATAAGGTGCGAATGGTGAATTGGTGTCATCGATGTACGCCAGGCCGTGCCAAGCCGTCCGACAACAGCGCCACGAGACGCGCAATCACGATATTGCGTGTCGCCACGCGAAGCACATGCCGAATCACTTCCCGCCATCCCGATTTTCTCACCTTTCCCAAAAATAAGTCGGCGGCCCGCCTGCTTTCGGGAGGAACTCCTTTGCCGCCGCGGCGCCGCACTGTACTCACTCCAGGTGCTTCATTTTTCCGCGCGGTTGGCAGTCCTTTTTATTTCAAGTCGCGTGAGGTTGGCCGCCCCGACTCGGCCCGACTCGGCCCGACTCGCCTCGTGACACATGGCCTCGTATCATCTTGTCCTGGCCGGTGGATGGATGGCGTCCTGGATGGCGTCCCGGATGGCGTCCTGCAGGAGGACCTTCCTTATTCCGCCCCCGGGGAGCGATCCCTCAGCATCTGCTCGCGGTCATCACAACTCACCAAGATACAGTCACCGCCCACCCGGCCGGCTGCAGCCCCGCAAGGCCGCAAAGGCCGCTCAAAATTTAATCAGGCGGTGTTGTTAGTCCGCAGACAATTACAGCGGCATTAAATGCAGGCGCCTGACGAATGGTCCGGGATCCAGAGCACGCAACCTGCGGCGCGGCTAGGCCGGGCTGGGCGAGGCTAGGCGAGGCTAGGCAAGGCTACGCTAGGCGAGGCTAGGCAAGGCAAGGCGAGGCTAGGTTAGGCGAGGCTAGGCAAGGCTACGCTAGGCGAGGCTAGGCAAGGCAAGGCGAGGCTAGGTTAGGCGAGGCTAGGCAAGGCTACGCTAGGCGAGGCTAGGCAAGGCAAGGCTAGGTTAGGCGAGGCTAGGCAAGGCTACGCTAGGCGAGGCTAGGCAAGGCAAGGCGAGGCTAGGTTAGGCGAGGCTAGGCAAGGCTACGCTAGGCGAGGCTAGGCGAGGCTAGGCAAGGCTACGCTAGGCGAGGCTAGGCAAGGCAAGGCGAGGCTAGGTTAGGCGAGGCTAGGCAAGGCTACGCTAGGCGAGGCTAGGCGAGGCAAGGCGAGGCTAGGTTAGGCGAGGCTAGGCAAGGCGCCCTCCGGAGCGGCGCGGGGTGCGGAGCTACGCCCACTTCATTATTGAACAAATTAGGGCTCGGCTCGGCCCGGCTCCCGCGCGAAGCTGCAGCGCCGAATTTCCTCTTCCTTTTATGGTCGTGTGTGTGTGTGCGTGCGTGTGAGCGTGTGAGTGTGTGACACCCCAACACGCGCGCGGAGGGGTCCAAATGCGGGGAGTGGAAGCTGCTGTGTAGAGGGAGGAAACGTTCGCTCAGCCATTACGCGGCGCGCCATTT